CTCAATTTAGGCAAAATAGTCATGATGGATATCAAAGTGGTGTCTAGTCAAGTGATAATGGATAGAAAAAGAAGGGCAAGGGTAGGTCTTGATCAAAATCTAGGACTAAGGATAGAAAATGCTATGACTGTAAAAACACAGGGCATTTTATAAAAGATTGCCATAAAGAAAATTGTAAGTTAAAGATTAAAGAGAGAGATGAGGTAAATGTGTTATCCTCTACGTTTGAATAGATAATGATGAGGTCTATATGCTTACAAGTCAAGTCGCATACACAATTGAATTGAATCAAACTGCTAATTCACATATGCATGAGTGGATACTTGATTCTGGTGCATCGTTTCATGTGACGTTTGAAAAGAATTGGCTTGATAATTTGCATGTCTAATGTTGGGCATATTGTGCTGTGTAATAACTTTGCCTATACTATTGTTGGAATTGATGATATAAACATAAAATTTGACACGGGTTTTGTGCACACGTTAAAGGATGTTAGATATATTCCTGAATTGTCTAGGAATTTGATTTCAGTAGGTAGACTTGAAAATGATGACTTTACTGGTAAAATTGGAATGGTATGCTAAAGATGATTAAGGGTACTTTAGTTTCCATTAAGGAAACTAATAAAAATGACACCTATATCACTACTGAGGAAGTGATTAAAGATTTGAACTCCTCTATCTCTTCTGCCAAGATTGATTACACACACATGGCATAATAGACTTGCACACATAGACATTAAGGGATTTAAGTTACTTAATGAAAAATGTGTTTTTGGTAATGACTATGTATCAGGTTTGTCATTCTGCGATCACTGTGTGCTTGGTAAGTATCATAAAACATCGTTATCCTCGAGTGTTCATAAGACTAAAGGCATGCTTGAATATGTGCATTATGATTTGTGGGGTCCTACTAGTAATCCCACATCGTGTGAAAATAGGTATTTCCTGTCTATTATCAATGACTATACTAGAAAAGTGTGGGTTTATCTATTGAAAGATAAATCTGAGACTTTTCATAATTTTAATAACTAGAAGAGACAAATGGAAAACAAACTGGCAAGAAAATCAAATTTTTAAGGACAGATAATGGCCTAGAATTTTGCAACACGAAATTTGATAGTATGTGTAAAGAAAATAGTATAACTAGACATAAGATTTTTCCTTACACTCTCTAACAAAACGGGGTAGCTGAAAGAATGAATAGGATCATACTTGATAAAGTGCGTTGCATGATGTTAAGTTTTGATGTTCCCAAATTTTTTTGGGGTGAGGCTGTTATGACTGCCTGTTATTTGATTAATTTGACTCCATCTACTACATTGAACGGTGACACTCCATATGAGAGATGGTTGGATAAATTGAGTGATTATTCTATGCTTAGAACTTTTGGCTGTGCTGCCTTTTCTCATAAGAGTGGGGAAAAGCTGGAACCTAGAGTTAGAAAGTGTGCCTTTCTATGGTATTCTGAGGGTGTTAAGGGATACAGGCTATGGGATAGAAGTCAAAAGGGGGTTAAAATCATCATGAGTAGGGATGTCACATTTAACGAGAATGAGATGCCGTGTATTAAAGGGAAAATCGAACCTATGAGTGAAACTGAATCAGGTGAGGAGAGAGGAGACAAATGAGAGAACCTAGAAGATTTGGTCTTGATTATGAGTTAGCTTTCACCCATACTAGTTATGAAGAACTAGTCGATAGAGAGGCCAAAACCTTTGAGGATGCGATAGGTTGTTATCAATCTAATGAGTGGCTTAAGGTGATGAATGAATAGACGAGTTCTCTGGAAAAGAATCAGATTTGGGAGCTAGTACCTAGGCTTAAGAACAAATCGATTGTTGATTGCAAATGAGTTTTTAAGGTTAAGGAAGGTACTAGTAGCTCGAAACCCTTAAGGTTTAAGGCTAGGTTAGTGGCTAAGGGTTACACACAGAAAGAGGGCGTTGATTATAATGAGATTTTCTCACTCGTTTTAAGTATACTACTATTAGGGTCATACTTGCTTTGATTGTGCATTTTGACTAGGAACTTGAACAACTTGATGTAAAAACTGTCTTCTTACATTGTGAGCTTGCCGAACAAATATTCATGAACCAACCTAAAGGTTTTAAAGACAAGTCAAAACCTGATTACGTGTGTTTTCTGAAAAGATCCATGTATGGCTCAAAACAATCACATAGACAGTGATACAAGATATTTGATTCCTTTGTACTCACTATAGGGTTCCAAAGAAGTAAATTTGATCACTGTTTGTATTTTCAACACAACGAAATTGATAATAATTATTTGTTTTTGTTGCTCTATGTGGACGACATACTATTGATGGATTCTTCTTCTAAGTGGATAAATAATATAAAGCCAAATTAAGTAGTAAATTTGACATGAAAAGCCTAGTAAGGCTAAGAAAATCCAAGGCATGGAAATAGAAAAAGATAGGTCAAATTCGATTTTGTTCTTGCATCAGTCTCTATACATATCTAAAGTATTGAAAAAATTTAAAATGAGTGATTGCAAACCTGTCACGTTACCTCTTGCTAATCATTTTGTTTTATTGAAAGAACAATCTCATTACAATGAGTGTGAAGTAGAATATATGAGTAGAGTGCTTCACTCTAATGTGATTAGTTCCATAATGTATTTGATGGTTTGCACCAGATCGGACTTATGTTTTGTTAGTACTCTTAATAGGTATATGGCTAATCCGGGCCCTGAACATTGAGAAGCGTTAAAGTGGCTATTAAGGTACTTGAACGGTACGAGTGACGTAGGTTTAAAGTTTAGTGCTAATAAAGAAGGTGTATAATTGAAAGATTTTGTAGATGCTGATTATACAAGAGATAAGAATGGTAGGAAATCAACCTCGTCTTACATGTTTACCTTATCTAATTCACGTGTTAGTTAGAAATCATAGTTACAATACATTGTTGCACTATCCACTATAGAATCAGAATATATTACCACCACTGAAGCTATTAAAGAAGCTCTATGGCTTAGAGATCTACTTCATGAACTATGTGTTTTAAATGATTATGTGGTAGTGTATTCTGATAGTTAGTCGTCTATACATTTATGCAAGAACCCTTCTTTTCACGAGCGCACTAAATACATTGATATTAGACTCCACTTCATTAGAGATATAGCATCTCAAGAGGTGATAAGACTTGAAAAGATTCGCACACATTACAACCCTTCTGATATGGGCACAAAGGTGCTGCCACAAGTAAAGTTTAGAAGTTGCAAGGAACTTCTAAACATTGGTACATGTAAATGATTTCTAGTTTTATTGGTTTTTTGTTAGAGGTGTCACTAATAAGAAACATTCTTTTTGCAGGTCTTTTGACACCAAGATGGAAATTGTTGAACATATTGTTGTCAAAAGATCTCTGGGCAACGATGTAAACCTTTTATTAATTATCAGTCAACGATTGTGATATGACTGGGCGATAGATCAATGCTAAATTGTAACGACCCGACCAAAGAAAAGATTGGACCATTTGAAACAACCAATTAAATTGTGTTGCTCATGGGCCATATTTTCACCTATTTGTATGGCTAACTAGTTTTGAGACCCACACTATTGTCGACTTATATGTTATTAGACCTTGACCCATTACCTAAACCTAAATTACCTTATTTTGTGACTTGGGCCAATATATATTCGTTGGTCCTGCACACCACTTTGAAGAACAAGACTTGGTATCTCTCTTTTCTCCTTCTTGCGTGCTCTCTCTCGGCTTCATCACTTCTACCTTCTACCATTTTCTATAGTGCATACATCTTGGTGATATTTCTCCCCTTTGAGGTGGTCTCTAAGTGGCAAAAGGTTTAGTAATCGTAGGTGAAACCTTTGTGGTGTTCTTGAGTCGTTTGTTTTGGTATTGGTTCGAATTTTGGTAAATTGAGCCTGTATATCGCCTTAGTGGTTGATGATTTCACTTCTTTACAAAACTTAACAGCTTCTATCTGGGTTTGAATGCAGCCAACTCACTCATTTTGACACAATGTTAAAATACTTGAATTTCTATATTCTTGTGCTATTTTTATATCACAGTCCATCAAAGCTATGTGTCAGCAGTGCTCAACATCGATTTATGTGACGGTGAGGCAGCTGTAATATTGTTCATTAATGAAATTGAGATCTATGTTTTTATTCATTATACAATGTGACAGTGGCTCCAATGCCACATATAGTGCTAATTAGTACAAATGGAGCTAAAAAAATGGCACCATTTTTTTACTTGAGTTATGCTATACGTACATCCGAGCATGATAGCTCGGATGACAGCTCCCTCACAATAGGGATAGTGATGACAATGGAAAGGGCTTGAGTCAGGTCGGGGCGGGGCAGGGCAGGGATTGTTTCTTCCACCCCGCCTTCCATGGGGCGGAGCGGGGGGCTTGCCTCGTTTCCTGCCCCTTTTTTTTCCCGAATTTCAAGTTCAATAAAATATAGATAATATTCAAGCTGACAAAGTTAATATCCAAATAAACATTACAAATCTTAAATATAATGGTCGCTATTGGTACATTTTTTGTATTTTTTCCATTGATATTGTCACAAAAGTTGTAACCCCACACACTTTAATTTATTACAATATATAGATTTTCAAATTTGTTCAGTTGCATATGTTATATCCTTTTATATTTGTTTTTATCAATATAATATCAATTTGACAAAGTAGCATAATGATATATATAAATTAGTCAAGTTTGATAAGAATTGTATAATTGAGGATACTAGAAAATAGGTCATATCCTTCTATTTGAAGTAAGTTGAACCCTAACCTTTTGATCACAAAATAATAATAATAATAAATAAATAAATAAAAATTCACAAGGCCCCACCCCATGCCGGGGCGGGTTTTTTTGCCCCATTCGGGGTGGGGCGGGGTAAATTGTCATCACCAAATAGGGAGCCTGCATGCCCGGATGTACAACCAACAAAACCCTTTTTACTCTAAGGCAAGGAAATTTGAAAAACATGTAAAAGACAAAATCTCCTTTAGTTAGCATGCCATTCAAAAATGCAAAATAATAACAAAGAGTCAAAATGTAAAATTAACAATTTAACCTACGGCCTTGGATATTTTAGACAGGACTTGACAAGGGCTGTTATTTATTCAATTCACTAGAAATTCTATCTATGCATGCACTTTTGACTTGTTTGGATATGTAAATTGGATAGCACTGAACCAAAAAAAAATGGCTAAAATGTCGTGTGTCCAGTACATTGCATACTGAACATGCTTAACTACTAGTTGGGAAAGATTTCAAGTACTTGGCTGTCATAGTTTTGAGCATTTTGCTCACTATTTTGGGACATTAATAACAGGTTTGTGTAAGCATATGGCGAAGGCTCAACTACTTCTGATGCAAGTAAATCAAAGCTTTTCCAGTCACTAATTCGATTCCCATAATTGCTTTTATCATCCTCGGTCAACTCTTCATTTTCAAATATTGCATTACTGTCGAAACTTAAAATTCCTTTCCTTGTAAAATCACTCGTTAACATGGCTGGGCTATCAAGTTCTGGAAGTTCAACTATTTGGTTTTCCAAAACCAGGCCAAATGGAGACTGCTGAAAATTTGTTCCTTGATTAACTGGATCAAAAGGTTGCATTGAACTCGGGGTGCTTGGATATGATGAATTAGGCCTGTAATTGCTGTTGATTGATCTGGTGTAGTAAACATTGTCCCGAGCTTCAAAACCTTGCTTTTGATTTGGAGTTGGCTTCTTAAATGCGCGACATACCACCCATCCTTCTTCCTGTAATGTTTGATCATATAAACACGCTGATTCCAAATGGTTATGCAATGTAACAACTACGTCTACTTGAATTTGCATGTTTTTTTTTAATTATTGTCACGGAGAAGAGTACAAGCGTTTTCTTCTTCCTCCCAGTTTCAAAACCGACTCTAAGAGGGTGACCTCATACATGTACAAAATCAATATAACCCTAACAAAATTCGTAATGAAAGGAGATAAACATACATATGATTAGGATTCATATCTAAGCTATATGTTTCTTTTATACTGATGAAGTACAATAAAGAAAGGAAGAAGAAAGCTTGTCTCAATTTTCACCTCCGAAAGTGCTTTCAAAAAGAGTGGTCGAGACATTTGCAATCATTACGGATTGAAAAATAAAATATATTTATAACAATTATCTCAGCCACACTTTTTGTAGAGAAGAAAAAGTTGCATAAAAAACAAATATTTGAAATGAAAATTATTCTAGATTTCAACTCCATCAATCTGAAAATATACAAATATATCTACATATCTGTTATGGCAATTTAATTTAAATTTTTTTTTTATTTTTAAAATTCAAGGGAATGTATGAACTTTCTTCTCACGATGAGACTATTTAGATTAAATTTTAAAATCGATTAATAAGAGCAATAAAAAAATAAAATAAAATAAAATAAAATAAAAAACTAACAGATATACAATATGTCGCCCTCAATATTAGAGTTAAGTATGTTCGATTGAGATTTAGCCCCCGTTTGCCCGCATTAATTTTCATTTCATTACATTTTTTTTTTCTCTCTCCTATTTTCAACTACACAATCTTCCATAAAATAATATTACACGTAAATCGAAAACTTTGTTTTCTTTTTCAACCACTCAATTTAAAAAAAATATATATATATATTCCACCCGTTTTTCTTTCTATAAAATGGAGGCAAACAATGTCTTAGGAAGAAGAAGAGTACCTGAACGGGTCCATTTTCAGATGTCTGGAGCCGATATTCGTGCATAATCCAGTCAGATTTCTTCCCATTTGGAGCGCGTCCTTTGTAGAACACTAATGTCTTCCTCATCCCTATCATTTTGTTGCTCGAAAGCACTGCCTTATCCCTTCCGGTTGCCTTCCAGAAACCGGCAGCAGTCGCCCTATTAGTTCGCGTTCCTGTTGGATACTTTCTGTCCTTGTGACTGAAAAAGTACCACTCATTTTGTTCTTCATACCCCGATTTGCACCTCTCTGCAGTTACAAACAAAGTAACATGGATATTGAGAACCCTACTCTGCCCTAAAAATGCTGTTAGGAAATAATGGGACTAAGCTCATTAGCAAACTGAAGTGAAATTGAGAAAAATGCTACATGGATAATTTGATTAGATCAAAAACTATTTCAAAAATGTTAAATGCAAATGAATACCTTGAATGTCCCAGGGCTCCATTCTGTAGAGATCGATGTCAATGATGATATCAAGATCGATTTTCATGTCGTTAACCCGTCTCTTCAGGTAGTAACCAACGAGTTCTTCGTCGGTGGGGTGAAATCGAAAGCCTGGAGGGACACATGATTCCATTTCCATCGTCGGTCTTCAATTTTTCCTCAAGAGATATGCTATGTTAGAGAACATTGTTTCGATCGAAAGATATTTAGGTCAAGTAATTATTGAACATCATTCTACATTGTACAATCGTCTTACAGAACAAATCATTAAAGCAAACCGCCCCGAAGATGTTTTTCTTCTTTAGGTTATTGTAAAGCTATTTTTGGAACACACTCTCTTGATGAAGTGAATGAAAAAAGTTCCCAAATCACAGAGTAAAATTCATACAACTTCGTTTTTTTAGATTGTCATGATTCATTCATATATCCACTCGTGAACATTATGGTTTGATGGTCCCATGAATTGTTGCTGCATGTGTTAAAATTGTGTCTTATGAGGAAAAAATGGCCGACCAAATGTGGCATCCCACGCCCAAAAACCAATGATTCATGCTAAAACATATGCCAACATTCTTATTGACTGTTTGGATGCAGTTTACAATTTGCCAAACCAGATTCAGTTGCATGTAGCAAAAGTAAGCACATTTAATTATCACAAAAGTGGCCGTAGAAATTTGACTTTTGAACATGGGTCATACTCATTTCTTTGAGTGCATTCCACTGCATCCCTCATAGTGTAGGAGGGGTTTTCTAACCCACCCACACACCCTTCTTCACACCATTTCTGAACTACAACAAAAATAACCAACTCCATATTTCGATGCGGTCGCAGTTTTCCGGTCGAAACCGTGTTCAGACCAATATTACATTGTACACATGGAGAGAATACATATAGACACACTAGCTAGCATTGAGAGATTATAATTGCGTGCAAGCTGATCATTTAAGATCTGGGACAAGAACGAAAATAGATTCCTATTTCATTAGTCTATACAGTACACATAAATGCATGAATACAAACTTACATCCAAAATAACCGATTAAGAAAATTACTAACCACAAGTTCAACCTTTTTGTATGTGTTCTTGAGCTGCCTTTTAGAGAGAGAGAGAGAGAGTCGATTTCTTGAAATTGGAGGCGAATATGTTGGTGAAGAGAAGGACTTGATTGTTTTAAATGTTGCTTAATGCTGTTGGTAAGAGGGCTTTTTATAGCTATACGATAAGCTAACAAATAGTTGATGAATATGACTGATCAAACATATGATTTATATATAAAATAAAGTTTCACATATCTATATACATATAAAAACAAAAGGTAATGTAAGTAAGAGAGATTGTACATATGTTATTGATTACGCGTGGGGGTGGCAGATTGGATCAAGCTTTGTTTGGACGGCGTGACACCCTATTTTCACGCCACCCTCCACCGTTATATTGTGCCCTAAGACTAATTTCCACTTCTCTGAAAAGTTGAAGCCTCATCTATCCATCCAAACATCAGGAAATACGTGAGGTTCTTTTAGGACAAAATTATGAACTTTCGGACATAATGACAAGAGTATGACTAAGACCAAAAGGAATAGTTATCTTTAGTTATTTAATTGTAATCCCTGTCTTGATCGAGAAAATTAATGTTATTGTTTATTCTTCTGTACTTTCAATCAGAGGTTAGGTTAATCTCTTCTTAAATTTATATTTTATTTTATCTTCGTTATCAACCAAACATATTATGGCTTAAAAAAAAAAAAATGAATAAAGGGACCTTGTAACTTGTCATTGCCATTTGAATTATCAATATAGCATATATTTGCATTTTGCTCTTCCCACAATCCAGCAATTCTTGTCTGTTAGGTGCGCCGCCCTTCGACATTTGGAACCAGTAGCCGGTCAACATGTAGATGAAACCTTGAATTCCGAGCTGTCTATTTCAGGCAGCTAATTATTTGTGTTGTCAATTTGTGGAGGAATAAATCAATGTGTACAGGGAAAATATTCATAGAGAAATTATAGACTCCTCGCATGGGTCGGCTCCACACGGGGTTCAATGCAATAGAAAATGGCCAAAAAAAAAAATCGACTCCAACTCATTTGTGAGACCTTGTAAAGGGTCTGTAAGAGTTGGGCCTGTACTACCAGCTCGATTGTTTGTGGAGTTGTGTTGTATTTCCATTTTGATTTTATTAGAACTGTGTTAAATTAACACTTGATTTTATTAATAATTGACCCAAAAATATTTTTCAATTACTAATGAAATACTGTCAAGTATTAATCTAGCACACTTATGGTAAAATGACATACTCATATTTGCGAGATGAGTCTTAGAAAAGCCCTCATCTAGTTTTTTTTTTTATATTTGCAAGCTTTGGCTTAGTCTCTGTTTGGCCTCCATTATTTCAATATATATATATATATATATATAAAAGGAAGAAATTTTTTTAACTTTTTTATTTAAGTGTAATATTATTTTACAAAAAATTGTATGGTTAAAAATAAGAGAGAGAAAAATTATAATTTGAAATAATGGGAACAGACATGCTTAATGCATGTCAGGCGATTAATTGACTATTAGCCACTAATCAAATCCGCCCATAAATAAAATTCTAATTTCCTTTTCTGCTAGCATGGTATCACAACACAAAGTTTCTAAAGTCAAGACTTGAAGTTTTAACCTAAGAGGCGTGTTTTAAGAATAAATGATATATAAGTAATTTTCTATATCAATTTAAATTTTTTAAATCAAGTAATTCAATAATACATAATTGATAATTCCACGTACTTGTCCTTAAATTGGATCTATCTGAAATTTAATGAATCCTTTATTTTTATTATTTGTATTAAAATACAAGTCTTTTGTATTACGTGATAATTTAGAGCTTTATTTACAATTTCTTTCAATAGCAACTTTGATTTCTTTTTCCTTTTTTCTTTCTTTCTTAAAAAAAAAAAAAAAAAAAAAACTAAGAACAAGGGTTTAAGACTTTTAATTAGATGGTTGTTTGGATAAAATTGTATTGAACTTTGAGATTTTTGTTAGGTTTAATTTTGATATGTACTCGAATTATCTTGCTAACGTAAATCAATCATTGACATAGCTTCGGGTCTTGTTAATGGTTTATTCTCGATATTTTATTGAATTAAGCCAAACGAACATAGACTTTGACACGATGGGTGACATAGCACTCACAACCGAAGTGTGGGTCCCATGAATAAAATAATCCCGACCTCCCCCATGTGTGCGCGCTATGTTAACCGAATTGTCATCCTCTATGTTTATGTAACACGGTCCTATTTTATTAGTATCAACGGATTCTATCTTTTATTAGATCGTACTATATTTCTTGTGCCCACTGTATTTTAATAAAAAAAAAAAATAGAGAGAGAAATTTAAAAAAAAATGTAAGAGTAAAGGGGGAAAGTGTAATTAAGTCCAATTCACAACATGCATATTTATGAGAACAATCAGACCCATGAGATGCCCCAAAAAATTAATATTTTTTGGTCCCAAACAAGTCATAAAATATGCACTTGAAAATATAGGTTTTGATAGGACTTATGGTCCTACAATATTCATGAATAGATTGTCTTATCCTTATTATAAAACCATAATTTTACAACAAAAAGAAAGACGAAGAGATAAAAGAAGAAAAAATAAAATAAAATGAAAAGATGTTTCATTAGACTTTTTTTTTTTTTTTTAAATATCAGTTTTCTGTATTGTACAAAATATATATAAGTTGTTCAATTGTTTTAAGCATTTTGAATATACTCTTGTTTTTAAAATGATAAAATAAATTTTTTAGGGGCTAGACAAAACTACTGTACTAAATATATAATCTAGCAAGTTCCCAATCAAGATTTGACAGCAATAAACCTTAAAAGCTGCATTATCAGTTTCGATTTTCCTGACTGAGCATTGTTTTTGCCAGGTAATTTTATTAGGGTTGGATCCATTTTAGTTTTGATTCTTCTCCTCCATGAAAAACAAGAAGGCAAGTTTATGTCTATTAATGAAATAAGAATTAAATGAATATAGTTGTACACAGTGTGTGTGGGTGGATTCTTGAATTTGATTTTCGCGATAAATGGCTAGATTCTGCATCTATCACTAGTTGTAATTTCGGTATAATAAATTTATCACCCAATTTGTGCTTGCGATGAATTCATTAGTCTTAGAGCTAGATATTTTACGTTCGATTATCTTAAGAAAAATTGAAAATTGTATTAAAAATCAATTAATTATGGGTGTGAGCCTATCTTACTCAGGGCTTTGAAGTGATTCTTCAATGAATAGTGTTTAAGGTTAGATTAATCGTGGATGATAAAAGGTTCGATGCTTTTCTTCTACTACTTGTGGTTTATTGACGAATACATTGTGTTTCCTTACATCATTATTCACTTTATTGTCTAATTATGTTTTGCTCCTTTAAATATATAATACATAAATAATACTTATTCAAATCAAACAATTTTATGTAGTTCAATTATCATTTACTAGAGTTGAACTTTCCTCATAGGAGAAAGATTTGAAATATATTAGAAAATCCTATAACGTGACACATCAACCACTTCTCTAGAGTAGTTGATATTTATAAAACTTGGGGTTGGCAACAAAATGATTATTCACCAAGATATATCGATTTACATTATTTGAAAAAAAAATATTTTTAAACAGTGATTGGACATCATTTCAATTCCACATTCTTCAATAAAATTGTATTAGACGTAAATTCAAAACTTTTCCTTATTTTTTAACCACACATTTTCAATCAATACACTATTCGAAAATGTATTTTTTCCAAAATAATGTGGCTCAAACAAGGGCTTAATGTTTTAATACTTCTCAGACTTGATGGTGACAGCAAAAAACAAGAAATTAAAAAGGAAAAAGTACTGATAAAATGGACGACCATGAGTTTTTATATGACGTTAATTATCCTTATATTTATCAGCATTATTATTCTAGAATTGTACTATTTACACTAATTATGCGATACTAATTGACAAACTAAATTACCAAGTGGTCATTTATGGAAAGCTTTGTATGGTCGGAAAGTAACTTTTCCTATTTACCTCTAGAAAGCACACATATGGTACATTTTCTACCATTATTTGGTCTAAAACCAATGAAAAATTGTCAAGTATTGTTCTGTCAAATTTTTTTGTACCCGTAACATAAATGTTCTTCTAAACAATGAATACACATTTAGTATGCAATATTAATTGTACAAAGAAAAAATATATATAATAGTGAATATTTTAACATTTTCTATTAATTTCTCTTATAAGATCATGCCTTAATAGTCCGCGCATAACACATGCAAATAAAACTATTTCAATCGAAAGGATCATTGCATTAAATATAAGAGATGAGGCTTTCGATCAAAAAATCTAGGACTATCAAAGCGCTAGCCAATACACTGACAATCATAGTTATCGATTCCTCTCAGCTTCTCTAATTTGTTGAAGACAAGATACAAATGAATATAACTTTTTTGGTAACATTTTAAGTTTTTAGGTTAGATGATTAACATGATATTAGAGACGTACATTTATTAAATGTTTGATAGCTAAGGCTGTACATGAGAAGTCGACTAGAAAACAAGAAGACTCCAAGCCAATGGTCAATAAGATGTTAAGTATGAAATCTTTGTCTTTGTAGATCGTGGTTAAAGTACCATCACTTCAATCTCAGAAAATCATTACAATCTTGTGTGATCTACCGACCCTATTCTTTTGTGACTTACTTTTTCTGCAATTTGAAATAGGGAGCCTGCATGCCCGGATGTACAATCAACAAAACCCTTTTTACTCTGAGGCAAGGAAATTTGAAAAACATGGAAAAGACAAAATCTCCTTTAGTTAGCATGCCATTCAAAAATGCAAAATAATAACAAAGAGTCAAAATGTAAAATTAACAATTTAACCTACGGCCTTGGATATTTTAGACAGGACTTGACAAGGGCTGTTATTTTTTCAATTCACTAGAAATTCTATCTATGCATGCACTTTTGACTTGTTTGGATATGTAAATTGGATAGCACTGAACCAA